TGTTCTTTGGTGGATCTCATGCCCATTGGTAGAATGGATCCTTGGCAGATCTCCCGCGTATTTTCCACCAGTCAATAACTCTTTGGACAAACCACTGAGGGTAAAGCTTCTCGCAGATTTTCTGTGAGGGATCAGGCCCACCGTTGTCTCTTTTTCATGGAGGCACTTTACTTTCTGAGGAGTTGAGGAGACGACGCTGAGCCTTGTTACGTAGGCATGGAACATGTACGAGCGAGTCATACGTAGGTAGTGGGAACAGTTGTGGGAAGCGCAGTAATGGATCTGACTCCGCCCAGTTGATCAGCGCGGATGTTCTTAAGATTGAAAGGTAGAAGGTGTATCATTTGATCCTAGTTGCGCGAGGGTTCTGGCTGTTCTCTGAGGTTCTTCGGCACTGCCTTCCTGATTCCTTCCTCCCCAACATGAACTGCAGTAAAGCAGTAAACAGAAGTGATGCTTGATGAAATAGTTGAATCGTCTGTCATCCGATGACTACGATGAAGCTGGGGAACAGCAGAATGTATATGACTAAGATTATTGTGAACCTTAGTTGGTCCTATTTAATGGGCAATGATAGATCCCAACTCGAGAGCTATTTTTCGTTCATTCTCCGGGGTGGAAGAACCGAATTTTATGACGTTCCTGTTTGTTCTTTAAGTTGAGGGTGCATTCAACTTTTCTTATAAGCGGAGGCAAGCCTATTGTTGTGGCCTCCTCATTGACATTCCCCCTTCCTTGCCGTCGGACAGGCAGAAACTGCATCGCTCTCGCGTTCTAGTTTCAGTTTTGAGCTTTTCTCCTCCTGCAAGCGCCTATGCGGAGATTGAGGGACAGCCGCCTGAAGGTGCTTACGCGATCGACTCATTTAATTTCACGCGCATTTTTAATATACTGTTGTTGTCCTAGACTAATGGCTTTATAAATCATGCGGGTCAGGTATCTTGAAGACACAGTTCAGGTTGATTTACGCATGGGCGTGGTCGGGCCTACCATTTGCATTCCTTGTTGGTACACCCTTCCTTTCGTGGCCTTAGAGAGGAGCTTCTTTCCGTCAAAGAAAGGGGATTTGTAAGCTTGAGTCCGCCTCCACGTCCAGCGTGAACTGCTGCAAGACCGTGTCGGAAATCGCTGAATTGACAAACTCTTTTTTTTCTTTGCAGGTCCGATCCCGGTGTGAAGAAAGCATTTGAAATGCGAAGCGAGTACCAATTGACGGATTCCGCCAAATAGTAAGCTTCAATTTTTCTTACCCTTGGCCAATCCTGCATTTCTGTAACCATAGCTAAGAAATCTTTATGACTTATGTGGTCAATTTCAGCTTCCTAGACTCATGCGCTCGAGTTAGCGAGCCAGGTTATAGACCCTCTGAGCAAGATATCCTCTATTCTCGAGTGGCGACCACCGGTGTAGTTGAAGTGAAGTTCAAGATCAAGGAACTGGATTTCAGGTGATTTATCTTTACTTTCTTTGATGACGAGGAGGAGGTGGTGTGGCGACTAAGAGCGATGCTTATCACACTATCTGTCTGGGGTTAATTCCTGGATCAAATCACCTGCGGGCCAAAATGTTTCACCTTCCATCCCTCCGGATTCTACTGATCGGTGCGAAGCTTGTGCTAAGCAATGAAAGCTTGGAACTGCACACTAGCTTTACAATCTTATGGGAAACAGGGTATGCGACAAGAGAATCGTAATTCACCGCGCTGGTGGGCGTCGTGTGGGACGTCGCACCGCAAATGTGGATGGTTCCGGGTGGTAGATAGCGACCACAGACAATTTAGAAGCGTAAAAAGTCATGAATGTCTATGTCTGGGGTCTACATGAAGTCGGTGCTCCAATCGACAGCTTAATAGGAGTTGAGAAAACGCATCCCACGCGCGCGCGCAGCGCGAGAGAAAACGCTGCGCCCACCGCCGCGCGCGGCGGAGCGGTAACTACGATTCTCTTGCCCGTCTTCCTGGGCTTCCTGGCACCCAGAACTATCGCCAGGCTTCTGAACAATTCGTTCCAGAATCGAAGTAGAGTGTCTTATGGGTTTAAGGAAGTTAATCCAACATCGGCTATTTGTATCGTCGATTACTTCTTGGTTGTTTTTAATCTACGCTTTCCCAGAATATTGTCTTGATTGTACTCGTTCTTTGCTGCAACACACTGGCGTGGCGTTTTTGTTGGCCTTTTGCTTAGCAACCGTTGGTAATTGATAGCGATTACCGCTCTGAAAACTAAATAGTAGGCGGTTGAACGACGTGACAGAACTAATCGAACTCAGCGAGCCCATAAAAGTGACGAGGAGAGTGAAGTGAAGTGCTAAACGCTAATAATTTACTTCCGAATGCGCCGTGTTCTCGCCGTCGCATTAGAATTGTAAGCACTGCGAGAGTACTCTACTTAAAACCAACAAAAGGGGGAGACGGACAAGAGAATCGTAAATTGCCGCTTATTCGCACATTGCATGGGCGCGACGTTTCCTTGATTTGCACTACCCTTTCGATTGGAGCATCGGATTTCATGTAGACAAGGACATGGTAGACACTTATGTCTATTTTTGGTCATACATTGTCTATTCTCGACCAATACCACCTAAAATCGTCGTGCGGGCACAACATGGTACGCGACGCCCACTGACGCGGCGAATTACGATTCTCTTGCCACATACCCAGAGAAGAGCTGCCTTCCCTAAGCGTTCTCAGGGGAGATGAAAGGCTAAGTGTAGCCCGATGAGAGCAAATTCAGGATCTGATCATTGAACCATGCTCGTGGTAAAGAATCACAAGAATGTCAGTCATGGGCAAAGTTATGGTCAGCGGGAGGTGCAGGTTCTAGTAGCGCGTGGGGTCTGACATTTGCCCATAGCTCAGTATTCCTACAGCCCAAGCACCCGTTTTCGTCATTTCCTATTCCCTCTCCTTCCAGGGCTGCCCATTCCTACGAGAAGGATCGGGAAAAACCATGAACTGCTGTGTAATTGTATTCGATGTGATATGCTGACGAACGAATTCAATTACCAAACCTCATACCAACGTCAGACGGCAAGAAATTGCTGGTGTTCCGTTAGACAAGGACCCCATATGAAACTACTGATACAAATGAAAGCATACTTCACGAACGATAACGTACAACAAAAAAAAAAACACCAAAATCGTCATTTCCTTTCCCGCCCATGCGTTGCGCCTGATTGTGAAGCTAATGACCTCATTCTAACTACGGTCTGCCCCTGCCTCCGCGTTAAAATAGGACGAGAGACAGCTCTAGATCAGTCCCTTCGTGGGCTTCCCAATCGGGATTTCGCGGATTTTGGCATGCAACACAGCTTTTTTTTCTGGTGACTTTCGGGGCCAGTCGTTGCACAGTATTGTTTTCATCTAGATGCGTCTTCTGTCATCCTATAAGCCCAGGAGGCATGCTTGGCTCGGTTGGTCGGGCGATACGGGTTTTGGCAACAAAAACTGCGGCTCCTGCGTGAGCCTGATACGTCCAGAGATCCACTAGCTGCGGGAAAGCAGAACTGCCTTGTAGTACTACATAGTGGAGCTTGATTCTAAGATGTTCTGCCAAAACTAGAGACTTATTTCAAAGTGAAAGTGCTGCTGTGTATCAGGTCGACCAGCCGGAAACTACTACACAGGTTTCCCGAACGAGACCCCTTCGTCTTTTTTCGAATCTCCGTATACAAGGGAAGTACTTGAGGATAAGTGCATAGATATCGAAGCCGAGCTTGGATTGTGAGACGGTTCCGGTTCTATAGGTTCAGATTTGGCGGCGCAAAGTTTCGGATATTTGTATGACACCCCAAATGCGTGCGCACCTAGAAGGAATGATCTTCGATGAATTTTACCTTCATCATTACGAGGACAAATCTACCTTACTAGTGAACAAGAAACCATGAGAAATCTTCCTCAAAAGAGCTTTCCTTCTCGCAGTCGTTCATGACCACTGGACGAGCATGAGATGGCCAGGATAAACTATAGTATGCTAACGCACAGCGACAAGCAGGCCGTAAGAGACCCGAAAGCGTACAGGCAAGAAGAGTCCGCAACAGAATTATCACGGAACTGTATTGACACGTAGGCTGGGACGGGATCTGTTGGGGACGCATCGCGTTTGATCATGTTCCTGACAGTGCACGCACCCCATCCCCGACTCCTTATCTCAGAATACGACCCCAAGCTATCCTACCACTCCTAGATTTCCCAATCTTCCTACCACTTTCTTCCATCTTTAATCCCGAAAAAATTTCCAGTTTTTTAGGCGAAAATTTTTCCTTCACGCGGGTCGGAGGATGAGGGTCGTCAGGCATTAACTAATCACTTTTCCAACTATGCAGAAAATAGTAGTTGTATAGATTTTTGGCGGTCTCTCTCTCAACAACGCCCCCCTCCCCTTTTATAGCGTCCGTGAAATAAGAGAAATCAACCTTCAGTTTGTTCCCGGACCCAAATAACGACCCCCTCTCGCAAATACGAACCCCCTCTCTTGAATAAAATGTGCCCGCGGTCATCACAACGATGGCGTGCCCTGACTCGAGCTCGTGGTGCGCATTGCTTGCCGATTCATTTGCAACTTCAATGTTACGCCAAGCTGCTGCCATCGTTGGACCGGGGCCACCTTTGCTACAATCAATAGTCTTCTAAGAAAGAACTCATTGGTTTCGCCAAGCGAAACATCCCCTTTTAGTTACTTTATATAAAGGTATAATGATCAATCAAGCGCCCACAGATATAGTATTGTTCTTCGCGAATGATGGGGTGTATCAGGGGACAGAATTCAGCCCGGGCCAGGCTCTTCTCCACCAGTTGTTGAAGGAAGCAAGCAACAATAATTAGTGGGAAACTGCCAGAACCAACCCCTCTGACACGTCCCAGTATTGAACAAAACTGTAACAACCCTTTTCCGATTATTATGCATTTTCCGACTCACTTATTATTTCCTTATAGAGTATTCGACGTTGGTGGTCAACGATCAGAGAGACGAAAATGGATTCACTGTTTTGACAATGTAGAGTCAATCATATTTATTACGGCTATCAGCGAATATGATCAAGTGCTCTTCGAAGACGAGACGACGGTAAGAAAATTAGATTCGTACCTGAATTTTACGAACTTCCGCTCTATTTATTTGAGTTTTCTAAACCTTTAATTTCTAAGTAACCATTAGATGACTGCACATTCACTGCGGCTTTTTGAACAAATTCCAGCGCTTGTCATTATCGCTAAGGTCAGCGGGGGCGTGTCAGCGGCGCGTGGGTCAGTCGCGATGCCAGCTCGTTGTCGATCTTTACGGTTTAGGCCGTTCAAGGAGTGATGAGAAAGGGGCTGGCGCGGTGTCAACCCCCCCCTCCATCACTGACACGCTCCGACTAACTTGAATGATAATGACTGTAGTACAGGTAGCAATACAACTATCATCCATATCGGAGGGCAAAAGGTGCTACGGCTGCGCATTGCCTTATTATTAGTGATTTTCATACCTTATTAATATATCTCTGCCGTTCTTTCTTCTAGCCAATCACACCCGTCGCCGTTACGCCCCTTATCGCCCTCAGATATGGACTGTGACTAACCTTTTGAGAGATAGATGACCAGTCCTGCGATAATGATTCAATACCAGTCTCCTAGTCATTGACATGTTCCTAACTATTAGCAAGTTACGGAGTTCTGCTACACCTGAGCCTGAATTTCAATGAAAATAATATTGAGAAGGCCGAGGTTTTGTAGTGGCAAGTCTTTCTTACCAGGCGCGCGGTCTTGGGGTAAAATCCACATCGCCTCCTGCCCAGGGCAACAAAATCTTCAACCCTCTAGCGCGGCAAATTTATGCCAACCTGATCTGGGATGATAGAAACACCAAAACGTGCAGCGGCTGGCCCCTAAAAGTAATTGTATAGGCCATATCGCATTTTATACGCCACTGCGATTCTGGATGAAAGTAGAATTCGTGCCGCGTTCCAAAAAAGGAGTGACCAACGGCGGAGTTCTATTCTTTTATCCTTTAACGTCAGCTGACATTATATTGGATAATGCTAATGAAATCAGCAAAAATCGTAACATTCGACATTTTTGTTTGTACTGACAAACTCAATCAAGCAATTAGTATTCGAAAAACCCACAAGGTATAAAGTTTCGGCTGAGCGGAATGGAGGGATGGAGATGGAAGGAAGGCGGAGGGGCGTGGGCGCACTCCCTCTAATTTCTTTGAGTAGTTCCTTAGCTATTGCCCACAGCGTTTATAAGGAGTTCAGAGTGTCTTAACCACAAGGGCATGCCAGTGGTGATGAAAGGGTACCAGCGACCCCGCCAAGCAGAACGGCACCCACTTTTTTACTATTTTTTCGTCCGCATATTAACCACCCTATCCCAACTGTTGCTTCCAATTTCCTCAGCAATCTATAGTTAATTGTGAACATAATTCACGGGTATCCATTCCGTCGGTTGAAAAAATGTTCCCTGCTAATTAATCTTGGGAAAACCCCGATTTTTTCACGGAAAGCTGAGCGGTGGGTTCGAGTCCGTCCCGTTGGTTCTGAATTTGCCATAACTCGGCACTCTTGTGATAACTTTCAGCATTGGCGCCAGTGAGGCCATTACAGCATTAAAACAGCAGTTACCCAATAAAAACAACTTCAAAACAACTTTCATCCATGGGCAAAAACTATACGATTTTTCTATGATAAAGAAAACAGAACATCGCATAACTGCATTTCTCAACATCATTAACGCATAATCAGCTTCACTTTCATTAACAAAGCAATCTATGAGTTTAACCACCCGCAGTAGCTAACATGAGTTGATTGCTGTACACAAATCTCTAACGGCGCGAAAATAATGAAGTTATATACCTACCTCAACCCGCAAACCCCGCGTAAAGCGCCACCGGGCCCAGCGCCCCATAAATCACGGCCCTAGTAAAATACTCGTTGTCCGCACATGACATTGAGGAAACTTATTGCAAGAAAAGTGCTTTACTTAATCCACGATGAAAACTTGCCAGGAAGGGAGGAAGACCGATTAACTAGCACTACTCTTTCCATTTCGATGTCGGCACTATTGAAACGTCAGCCCAATTCCAATAGATACTTTTACGTAGCACCTCCTTGGCACCATAAAACGATAACTATTCTTCCCGTTCCTTGCGGAGCATTGCCTCTTTGCCTTTTCGGTGGCCATTTAGTTCGTGTACTTGCTACCACTATTCACACTGTGCACTTAAGCGTCGCCGTAGGAGTATGCGTACAGCGATCAGTTCTTCGCCTTCTACTCCCTTGGATATAACTTCAGATCTCGGATCCTCTTCCCTCCAGACCAACCAAACTACTCACCAATCTGGGCTTGTTTAGTCAATGCCACACCCTCTCTGGCAAGAACTTAAAAACTTTTTCTTGTCAACCCAGGACGCTCCTGGCACGAGCTTGGCTCCCAGCAGGACAATTGAATAGCTGTTAGGTGTCGATTCCATATTGAAGTGGAATCGCGTGGCGCACTCCCTAGCATATGCTTGGAATCTGCCAGAATTAGCGTTGTCATTCTGATAGCATTGTAGCTGCTTAGTTATTCTCACTATGATTTCCGCTTTACTCAAAGAACATCAGCGCCATGAACTGAACCGAGGTCAATTGAAAGAGTTACCCTTTTTTCAGGAACTGGGCAATTTACTGCGAACTGACGCGAAGGCTTCAGTAACTTTCTCCTTTTTCTGAGGGACTGGATGGAGCGCAATGATGCGCGACACTTAGAACTTTTGTTGGAGGATATGGCTGACCGAGGGGAGGGGGTTGTGTTTTGTCACTGTTGGGAGAGAGAGAGAGAGGTCGTGCCTTTGAGAGAAAATTGCCGCGTTAGGAGGAAATTTCCCCCGTTGTGACTTTTTCGCGGTTTTTCCCGTTTCACATTGGCTACATACCACTCTCCCCCAGGGCATATCGTTGTGGGGAATCCACTGCAGGGGGTCGTACTTGACCGCACAGGAGCAGGGGCGTCGTATCTGGCTGTAGGAAAATTTATTTTGCATAATTGATTTTTCCGCGCTTCATTTGAACTTTGTAAAAAAGGGGTCGTTTTATTCCCACCCTCCGCTCGACAGCAAAATTTTTTAGGAAAACAGTAGGGGAAGATTCTGCTGAATTTTCGGAAAAACGGTGGCAGAAAGTTGGGGAAATCTGCAGAATTCGCGTGAAAGGGGGGGCGGTACGTATTCCTTTTGCGGCTTTTCCTTTTCGCGATGTGCTATTTACTCCCCCCCCCCTCCCGCCGCTCGACGGCTCAATTTCGATGAGTAGCAGACAGAGGGGGAGGAGCGAGGGCCGGTCGTACCACCCCCCTCCCCAAAAAAATGGGGGGTCGTATGGACTCGTTTAAAATCCCCAACCAATGATCTGCCCTGCTCTCCCCCTCGCACAACTCGGAAATTTTTTCGGGAGCCTTGAAAATCTGCGACATGTGGGAATTTTCCTAAAAAAAAGTGCGCTTTTATGGAGCCTGGGGGGAACTTGTAGGAAAAATGCTAAGGAAGTGGGGAGGGGTCGTACCGAGATTCTCGCTTAGGTGGGGGTCCTACTGGAACCACCATTCAACACATCACGATGCTGTACCCCGCCATGCTGACATTTGCTGTGCCCGGGATGCTGCAACGAGCGACGAGACCCCACTCGAACATTCGCTTTTTTGGTAGCATGTCTTCATTGGAGATAAGTGTTATCCTGTATTCAGGGCACGCCATCGCTGTGATGATCACAACGGGGGTCACTTGAGCGCGAGGGACGAGGGGGGGGTCGTATTTGGTCTGAGAAAATTTTTTTGATAGTTGATTTCTCTTGTTTCACGGACGCTATAAAAGGGGTCGTATTTGGTCGTTGTTGGGAGAGGGACTGCCAAAGATCTATACAACTATGCAACTACTATTTTCGATAGTTGAAAATGATAGTTGAAATCCTGACGACCCCCCCCCTCCCTCGACGGAAAATTCTTGGCTGAAAAACTGGAAATTTTTCGGGAAAAAATGGAAAAAGTGGTAGGAAGTTGGGAAAATCTAGGAAAGTGGTAGGTAGCATGGGGAGGGGGTCGTATTTGAGGATGGAATTGGGGGGGTCCTATTTTTCAGGAAATGATCACAACGCGATGGCGTGCCCTGCCTGTATTGTGCCAGGCAGACATGACTATATAAACTGTTGTCAAAATTGTAATTTTCCAAGATAGGCGCAGCAGCCGCCATGTGCAAGCGAAGTACGCAGCCACAGCCACCCCCCCCCCCTTTATGGGTAGCTCCTTTTGGAAGTGACGCAAGCAAGAAAATAAACCACTTGTCGAAAGGACCACCGAAAGCGTGCATTAGTATCGATCGTCAAGCAAAAATATGACAATTATATCCATTCCATCTTTCAAAGTTAAAGCTCAGATTCTCGCCTCTCTCCATAAATATCGCAATCAATTCCTCCTGCATAGGATTAACGATGCGGTCTTTGAACGGTGCATCCATTTACTGCTAATGATGAAGCTCAATGGGTTTATCCCTCTGACTCTTTCGCAATCTAATCCGAACCTGACGTTATGACACATCAGGGAGATACAAGCAACCAAACAGACAGAATATCATCACAAGTTTTCTGAGTTGGGGCAAGGCGCTTCGCCAGAGTGAAACGCGTGCTTTTGCCCACATACGGTGTAGGATCTACGATTGATATTGTCGCAATTGGTCACGACATTGTCAAAAAGTAGTAGGGAGGTGTCAGAAAGTATGGAATGAGCTCAGCCGCGGGTTTCTCAACACTGGTCGTTTTCTTCCTTATTCGATCACTAACCGGTCACTATTGGTGGAAAGAAAGGCCGTGTGGGTAGATCCCACCCCTCCTAGCACCGTCCAAGTGAACATCTTTCGCAGGGCTAACATAGTAATAATTTATTCGGTGAACACTTCATCAGCCACACCCAGAGAAGTAGTATAGCGGCTAGTCGATGGTTTGCCACTCAATTTTTGCCCAAGCCGAGCAAGGCTTAGGTTCCCCATCACTCTCTTTATCGGTACCAAGCCCTCCTGAAAGGAGAGCGTCTCTCCCTACTTCGGACTACTATGAGCGCCTCCGAACTCCCACAACTGCGTGGCTCGATAGAGAACCTTACATCATCCTTTAACTTCTTCAACTCTCTGGTATTCAAGAACGTCTTTGACCGGGAATTTTTCTCGTGGTCAGAATCTAGACGATTTTCGCTGGATTTTCGCCAGAGCTGCTTGACACTGAACAGAATTGTATCACGTCAGCCACGCAGTATGAAAAATCCGAGCGTCCACATGAATAGGAAGAGCGCTGCGTTTGAAAGTCAAGAGCATTTGCGGGTGGAGCTCCGACAGGATGTGATATTCGTGTTCTCCATGTATGTATATATCTCCTAGACGGACAGGGCGTGCTCGCATTCTTCACTCAAGACCCCCTTTCATCGTGGAATGTTTCTATTTGGGACAACTAACCCGTCTTGTGCCTGACATGAGACATGAATCCGGCAATTGTCAGAAAACCGGTAATGTCCCACTTGAAGGGCAGTCGCCACCGCGTCAAAATGAAGTACGCAGCCACGTCTTTTCATCTCCCGGATATGCAGTGTACCCTCAGAGGCAGGGTTCTTGGCCCAAATCAATCCCCAGAGTACAGTAGCCCGATCCTCTAAGCGTGGGGCATTGATGGGAGACAGGGCAGGGTACCATGGGATGCGGATATTGGAGTCAAACAGTTATTATACTTATCTGGTGATATTGCATGGGACACTTCACTTACATTTGCTAGGCCTATTATCTTCAACAGTATTTCGCTCGGATATAACCTTAGGCAGCGTTCAGACTTCGCGACAGCAGCGCTTCGGTCGCGCGTTCGACGCGATCGATGCGCATGCTTTCGACTGCATCGATCGAACGCGCGACCGAAGCGCTGCCGTCGCGAACTATGAACGCTGCCTTGAGGATGAATAGGATCTTAATACGGATGGTCTCTGATGAAGACCATCTGGTCGGAACGTCAGGCCATTGATAAAGATCTCTATTTAAAAACCTCTTTCGTGCAAATAAAATCATGTAATCTGAATACAGACTTTAGTCTTCGTTTCATTTCAGAATCGTATGATCGAATCGATGCAGTTGTTCAACTCGATTTGCAACAGCACGTGGTTCCTTTCTACAGCTATGATTCTATTCTTGAACAAAAAGGATCTTTTTATGGAGAAAATTAAAAGAGTCAACATCACCACTGCGTTCCCAGATTACGAAGGTTAGTACGAGATTGAACTCACAATTAAGAGCGCATTGAAACAATCTGAACCCTAACCTGCGTGGCACCTGGAAATTGTCCTGAATGAGGTGAATGGGTCGAAAATGCAGTAGCTTGCCCACT